GTTTCAGATGATGGTTCAGCAATGCTAACATTTGAAGCCCTTTCTGAGACCGCTGAGTTTGCAAGGAAATGGGTTCCCTTCTGCAAGAAGTTCAATATTGAGCCTCGGGCACCTGAATTTTATTTTGCTCAAAAGATAGATTATTTGAAGGATAAGGTTCAGCCTTCTTTTGTGAAAGAGCGCAGGGCAATGAAGGTACACATGAATTTTAAATGTTTTGAATTTAGCAATGGGGACTGTGTGCATCTCATTTACTTGATGGTATTGGTATGTAGGCATCACATCTTAGAAATAGGCTTTTGATGGTAGTTTAGTTTTATTTCAGCAAATGCTCCATTAGGTAAATTCAAATCCTTTTTTATAGGATCTTGGAAGGGTTTGTTAAGGCATTCACATTTTTTCGGGACAAGTAGTTGTGGAGATTATTTTAACCTGAACGTTTGTTGGTTTGCTGCATTGTAATTTACAATAAATCATTCACAAAGTTCTGCAAGTTGGGAACCTCAGGCCTCTCCATTATTAGGATTTATGTTGATACCACTGCCAAAATTCTTTTTTCTCTGAAATAATTCTGAACCTTTACACTAATTAAAACAATAATAATAATCTGACAATTTTGACTGTGCAGAGGGAATATGAAGAATTTAAAATACGGATCAATATCCTTGTTGCGAAAGCACAAAAGATGCCCGAAGAAGGTTGGACAATGCAAGATGGAACACCTTGGCCTGGAAATAACCCTAGGGATCATCCGGGAATGATTCAGGTCCTCTTTATGTCTCTAATTTATGTCAGAGTTCATGCACTATTCACCTTGTCCTATTTTTAATTATTTGCTTCGGATTGGATGATAGGTCTTTTTGGGGCATAGCGGGGGTCTTGATACTGATGGAAATGAACTTCCTCGTCTGGTTTATGTTTCTCGTGAGAAGCGACCAGGTTTTCAGCACCACAAGAAAGCTGGAGCTATGAATGCTTTGGTAGGCCACTGATAATCACAATAAGTGATATTCCATTTTTATTCAGCATGCTGTCAAGTTGAACAGAATGTCACTTAACATATTGATCATGTTGTTCTCCTTGTGCCATCTGATATTTTAGCTTGTGTGATGTTTCATTTATTTAAGCTATACCTTTCATTTTTCTGCAGATTCGTGTTTCTGCAGTTCTTACCAATGGAGCATATATTTTGAATGTCGACTGTGATCACTACTTCAACAACAGCAAAGCACTTAAAGAAGCTATGTGTTTCTACATGGATCCTGTTCTTGGAAAGAAGACATGTTATGTTCAGTTCCCTCAACGATTTGATGGCATTGACTTGCACGATCGATATGCTAACCGCAACATTGTGTTCTTTGATGTAAGTGTCACATACACATTCTCCAGATTGCTTATCAACCACCTCTGGTATGCGAGTCATGTTTAAATTGGTTCCAATGCATGCTCATTTCATCATGTTCCTGTTTCGCAGATCAACTTGAAAGGGTTGGATGGTCTTCAGGGTCCTATGTATGTCGGAACAGGGTGTTGTTTTAACAGGCAGGCCCTCTATGGGTATGATCCTGTCTTAACTGAGGCTGATTTGGAGCCAAACATCATAGTAAAGAGCTGTTGTGGGTCAAGGAAGAAGGGAAGGAGCGGAAACAAGAAATACATTGATAAGAAGAGGGCTGCCAAAAGAACTGAATCCACCATCCCGATTTTTAATATGGAAGACATTGAAGAAGGTGTTGAAGGTACGTCCTTAGTATCAATGTCCCTGAAAAATCTGTACTTCCTCTTTGGTAAATTGCGTATTCTACAGTGTCATTTTAAAACATCTAACTTCTCAGGGATACACTAAGCAGGATATACTGGAGAAGTATTTTAAACTTCTGACCGTTGTTGACATATTCTAAGGTTCTTTCTATCAGATATCTGGAGGGATGGGAACTAAACTGAGATAACCTTTTTATGATATTTCTCCATTGATCCTTCATTCAGCAGTATGACTTGAAAAAATCAGTTTAACTTATGTGATTATCTTAAATAACACTCAAGGGTGTGGCGTAGTGGTCAATAAAGCGGGTTGACACCATGAGGTCTTAGGTTCAAATAGTGGAGGCAAAACACTAGGTGATGTCTTCCCATTTGTCCAAGCCTTGATGAACAAAGTAACCTGGTACCTGTGGTGGTGAGAGGTGCCATGTACCCCTTGGAATCAGTTCGGGTGCACGCACAAGGTGGTACGGACACCAAGCTTGACAAAAAAAATCTTAGAAACCAATTTTTACAATCATTCCAACTTCTCAGCCTGTGTTACCTGTCTCCTAGCTGAGGCCGCTAGATGTATATTCACCTTCATCATGATGTTGTTTGTTGACTGTTTTCCTTGGGTTTGCAGGATATGATGAGGAGAAGTCGCTGCTTATGTCACAGAAGAGCTTGGAGAAGCGGTTTGGTCAATCACCGGTGTTTATTGCTGCCACCTTTATGGAACAAGGAGGCATTCCTCCATCCACTAATCCTGCAACTCTTCTTAAAGAAGCAATCCATGTTATTAGCTGTGGCTACGAGGACAAGACTGAATGGGGCAAAGAGGTACAGAACTACTGTACAGAACTACTGAGTATCATTCTGTTATCTCTAAGATGTGTGTTTTGCTTGGCTCTATTGATTTTATTGTGGCACAAAAGCCCTTATTAAGCTTTGTTTTTTTCCTATCAGATTGGGTGGATCTATGGATCTGTCACTGAAGATATTTTGACTGGGTTTAAGATGCATGCACGAGGATGGTATTCCTTATATTGCATGCCTCCTCGGCCAGCATTTAAAGGGTCTGCCCCTATCAATCTTTCTGATCGTTTAAACCAGGTGCTTCGGTGGGCCTTGGGTTCTGTTGAAATCCTGTTGAGTAGGCATTGCCCAATATGGTATGGCTACAGCGGCAGATTGATGCTTCTGGAGAGAATAGCATATATCAATACCATTGTCTATCCTATCACATCTTTACCTTTGCTTGCCTACTGTACCCTTCCTGCCATCTGTCTTCTGACGGGAAAATTCATCATTCCTGAGGTAAGTCAAAAGTTCCATTCAGATTTCTATATGCCGTTAAGTTTAACCCGTATCAGAAATAGTACTTGCCCAATTAGAAAGGGCTGAGTATACTAACTTCGCACTTTAATAGCTGTTGAGTTCATTCCCTGGTGTGGTAGGAAGGAACCGGTGTAAAGAATCAAAAAGTTGAAAATAGGGAAATGAAAGTAGATAATACAAATTTTTCCCTCTTCCTTGAATTCTCCTCTTAGCTTGCAAAAATTATCCAATGTTGCAAATTTTATGTGTCTTTTTGCTGAGAACTGTTTTGCTCTTCCGATTTTAATATAATGGTTGGCTTTACTTTGAATGTGATTGTGTGTTCATCCCTCTAGATGTATTTATACTATTCCTTTGTGATCAAGCTTGCCCGTAGTTATGGTCTAGATCCCCTTGGCTGTGTGTATATTTCCAAATACATCTCAAGTATTGTGTATGTTTATAAATGATTCTCAATTACCTGCAGATAAGCAACTATGCCGGCATATGGTTCATTCTTCTCTTCCTTTCCATTTTTGCCACCGGTATATTGGAGCTTAGGTGGAGTGGTGTTAGTATTGAGGACTGGTGGAGAAATGAACAGTTCTGGGTCATTGGTGGTACATCGGCTCACTTGTTTGCAGTCTTCCAAGGTCTCCTTAAAGTGCTTGCTGGGATTGATACAAACTTTACAGTCACGTCAAAGGCATCCGACGAAGATGGAGATTTTGCGGAGCTTTATGTGTTCAAATGGACGTCTCTGCTCATTCCTCCAACAACAATCCTTATTGTGAACCTGGTAGGAATCGTGGCTGGTGTTTCATATGCCATAAACAGTGGATATCAATCATGGGGTCCTCTATTCGGAAAGTTGTTCTTTGCCATTTGGGTCATTGTCCACTTGTACCCTTTCCTCAAAGGTTTGTTGGGACGACAGAATCGTACTCCTACCATTGTCATTGTCTGGGCGGTTCTCCTTGCGTCCATATTCTCATTGCTTTGGGTGCGCATCGATCCCTTCACATCAGATGCTGCAAAGACTGCTGCAAGAGGTCAATGTGGCGTCAACTGCTAGTAAACTTCTTATGGTCATTTTGTTTTTCAAGTAAGATGTTAGCCAATGCTTCCCTTACTGTATATAAGAAAACTAAGACGCTGAAACACGCGCAAGGCCTATAGTCATGTTGTACCACTGTTAGTCAGGAGTCTGATGCATGAAAAACATCAAACTATATTGGATTTTTGTCTGCCTTTTGTTTTTTGTATACCCTTTGGCGTGTATCAGATGATGTTCATGCAAGTCCTGTAACTTAGATGTGAAGAATTTTAAATTTGATTTTGTTGTCATTGTTCAGTACCGTGCTACATTGTAGACCAACTTCTTCGAAGAGATGATATCATAATTTATAATCCAAATTTATCTGCCTGTTTCTGATTGTTTTTGGAACTCTTAATCTGTGTTGATGCTATTGAATTGACACATTCTCATGAAAAATGCATCGTTAATTCAACTACAATCAAGGCCAACAACTATGTTCAGATTCCAAAGTAGTCGGTTATTGCTGTTATATGAATCTTAACTATCCGCGCCGCTTCATTTAAGCTCATCCTAGTCCAGAATTAACACGGGATTGCGCATTCTAAGAGACCTCACATTGGCTATGAAATTTTCAACTATCGAGTACAATGTTGTATTAGTGGTGAGACTTAATCTTGACATCAATGAAAGCTAAAGATTTCCAATCTGGTTGGCAAATAAGTTGGACCCTCATTTGGGAACTAGTTTGATCCAATATTAGTGCACGAGCATAGTAATATATATATATCTAACATAACATCTGGAAATTAGCGGAGCAAGATTCTCATCCTCACCTAATATATTCTATAGCTTTGACACTCACAAAGCTAAAGGTTATCAGTCAAATGATAATGGCGATGTCTTATCGTCAAACTGCATTTCATTACCTTGACTCAATAATGGAAAAAAGTGATACCAAAACAAGTACCCACTGTTGAGATTTTATCAATTCTTACCTGACAAACCAGGCTCAATCCAAAACAAAATTCCGAGCATCCCGAAAAAAAGGAGTAAGATAAATCAACTCAATTGTATAAAGAAGATGTCCCCTACCTTTTGCCTATTCTTGAATTGCTCTATGACCCTATCGCGCAAGCATATTTTCAAAGGAGCTTCTTTTACTCTTCATTCTCTGCCTCTATCAATATCCTCTTGCATGCTTCATAACACATGAAAGATATTCCTGCTGCAGGAACTAACTTCATGCAGCTCGGACCAAGGCCTTTATACAACCCCTGAATACCCTCCTTTTCAAGTATACTGGCAAGAGCATGAATTACATTCTTGTAAACTACTCTTCCGCTAACAGCGCCCACCTGCATATGCTTACGAGCCACCTCTAAAGGAAACGTTGCACTGCTAGATATAGCACCTGCTGCTGATCCAATCAGAAGTGTCTCTATGTTTCCGATCTTTTCTTCTTTGAAAATCTTTCTGTAAGCTTTCCGCAGTGTATCATACGCAAAGTAGTTTGTGGCGGCATAGGGAATGACTCCAATAAGACTAGGGGTGAGACCTCTATAGAGCTCACCAGGCCCACCCTCTTTCAATATTTTTACGAATGCATCGAGTAAACCATCGTAAACTTCTCTCTGCAGATAATGAAGGTCAATAAATCAAGTACTATTTTCATATAAAGTTCCAGAGGAATATCTTCAAGCTATCATCAGCAACTTTCATTTTTACCTGAATCGTCAATCGAGTCTTGACTAGCTCGAGAGGATATGTCAGTAAAGTAGAGCTGACTCCGGCACAGGCTCCTGCAACTAATGAAGCAGGAATTGGAATTTTGGGTTGCTCTCCGGGTTTAGGTGACAAGTTCTTGTTAACAGTATCATAAGCAAAAAGCTGCAGTAGGAAAGAAACACAAAAAGATATCAGCCAATGATGGAAACATTGTATGAAAACCATCGTTCGTGCTGAAAGGTATGACTCAAAGGTTAAGTATTGACAACTAATTCATACATGAAAAGCCGCCAATGTTCATGCATAGTGGAATTACTATGTTGCTCAAGCTTTATCCATCATAAAGTACAGCTAAGTTAGGCAAAAGCTCACTAGAAATCATTCAAGCTTCTCGGAGCTGATCCTTCACCACCTTAATCAAACCAACGCAAGTTGCAACCATTCAACTTGTCAACTTCAGTAATTAAGTAATGGCTAATGCTAACTTCTCCAAGAAACCAGCGATACATGGATTTTTATAATCAAATTTCCATCTTTATGTTTAACTGGGGTGAGAAGAAGAAAGACAAAGTAAGACAGAGGGTAAGGGAACATCAAACCAGTTAGACAAGAAAGCAGAGACGGAAATACTTGCAGGTTTTACCCAACTCTATTCAACAGTCACCTATATACTGAAATCGCTAAGGTGGATAAAGAGATGAGAGGCTGTAATTACCTTCATGTGAAGATTGGAAGTAATGAGAAACTGTTAAAGGACAAGCTAAACATAAATAATTCTCACACCTCTCTCATTTCCATTTCCTCCCAAAGAAGGAAATAAAAAATAGTTGCTCTGAAGTACAATCAAGTATCCTGATGCATACCGGTCATACACCAATAAGAACTGTGAGAATTCCACAGGATAGAAAAGTAGAACACTACATCAGAGGAGCAATAAGAATAGTAAACTCATTTTTTGACTTGTTATGGTCGCTCAACAAAGACTTACTGGCATAGCAAATCAGTCAGAATAGAAAAACAATTGAACACATTATCATTTGCTTTAACTTTCAGCAATTCACTACCCAAGAAAAGTGTCACCTAATCCTATAGTGTTCCCTAGACTCATGATCTACTGCCCAAAGGGCTAGTAGCACCAAAAATATAAGAAAAAAACAGACTACCCGCTCTGTTTATCCTAAACCACCAATCCCTCAAAATGAAAAAGGCTTTCCATTAACAAGCACATTTACTCCAACAACAACAACTGAACTACTAATATTACTATGCCCCAATCCCAAGCTAATCGGGGTCGGGTGGAAATCCTCATTAACCATGTTGCTCAATGTAGAACCAGCAATTTAATATAGCAGGTTAACTACAACAACAACGCAGTGGAATCCCACAAATGGGGTCCGGGAATACAGCAAGTTAACTCTAATATAAATGAGGCTAAACAAGTAATATCACGGGCAGAAATTGAGGGTTCCTGAAGTCATAATGCATATAATTCTCTGAAAGAAGCATTGTTAATGGTTTCTTGAAAGAAGTAATTACGTACATACAAAGCTAATCTATCAATCAGGTCGGGAAAACAATGCGACAGATAGTACTTGCTTAACTTCCAGAGAGTTCGTTACCAAAGAAAGTGTCAGAAAATCCTATCTTGTTCCTTATGTTCCTGATCCACTGACCAAGGGACCAATAGTAACAAAAGATTAAAAAAAGAAAAAAAAATGAGCATCCCGTGATGTTTAATCCTATAATGCTAATCTCTCCAAACGAGTAGGATGTGGTCACAAAGCAGGTTAACTCCAATATACATAGAGAAAGGAGGAGGCCAAATAAGCCATCACATAGCCAAATGCAACCACAGCCATAAATAAAAGCAATAGCAAAGACAAAATATTAACATCAGGAAATATTGGTGAGGCGTAAAAGGGGAACTTTTCTCCCTAAACCTAACATTAATAGAGAAACAAGGACCATATATCTACTTCAATTTCTTTCAATTAAAAGGAACAGTCATTGTCTGAATGATGATAACTCATGTCACAGCAGTATTAAGTTTGAAATCAAAGCAAAATTTTGAACTTACTGAGGATTCAAAGGATCAATCATAAACTAAGTAACAAATCCATTAAATAACATTAGTAGCATTAAAAGAAGCCTCAAACTCAAATTTGCAAATGAGTAGCAAACAAACAAAATAAAGAAGAGGGGAAGACTTAAAATTTACCTCTACAGCTTTGCTAGGCGCAACTCGGATCACATTAACCAAGTTACCCCTAAACAATCCAGTCCATCCTTCGGTATTCATAATATTATTGAACACCTCAGTAGAAGAATGCCCACTACTTCCAACCATCAAATGTGTCCTAATTGTCTCCAATGGAGCTACAGCTGTCCTAGATATCGCCCCGGCAATTGCACCACTAATTAATCTCCTTAATGAAGGATTTGCCACCTTAAACTTAATCTTAAGCCCACCTTTCTTCTTCTTCTTCACAACCCCCTCTTCCTCTTCTCCATTGCCTACAATCTCAGGGAATGACAAATACTTCATATACAAATCAAAATAAGGTAACTTAAATCCACCATTTTCGTCCCGGGAATTCGAATTATTAGGTGATGAAACACCAAAACCCATACTTCCCATCTGACCAACTGATGCAAATAAACCACCAACAGGAACAAAGTTTGAATCTTGGAGACTCCATTGAAACCCCAACTGAGAATTACACAAATTCCCATCTCTTTTACACTCCAACACTTGCATTTCCCTTCTACCCATCACTCAAAAAAAAAAAAAAAAAAAAACCTTTTTTCTTTCTACCTTTTAATGAAAAAAATTAAGCAAATCCTAATATTTCATGTCAGCACACAATTTGGGGAGTGTCAAATAAGGAAAAGAATCGATTTTTACCCATTCTTGACAAGTGGGGGTTGTGAGATTAATGACTAAAGATTCGATTTTCTAGAAGGGAATAAATAGAACAAGAAAAGGGGATTTAAAAAATTAATGCTTTGGAGAAGAAGAGATTTTGAAAATATATTTGGAGAATATTGTAGGCGATATATGCAATGAAGTGGGGTTACTTTGTGAAGGATGAATAATGAGTAACACAGGTGTGACTTTGTTCTTCCCCCTTCCAACCCCAGAAAACGAAAGGAGGAAAAGATTTGTGAAATCTCTATTATATTTATATATCACCCCTTTTTCCTTTTGTTCCTTCTTCTTTTAGGGTTTATATACCTACTCATTTTTACATTCCTATCCCACTTATGAAACCTTTTTACCCTACATGTTTAAGGTTTCACTTAATTACATTTAGCATACCAAAATTACCATTTATATACCATATCTAATTAAGGTTATAATTAATGTGATATTTTATACTCCTTAATTTAAGCACTTCCGTTATTTGATAGTACTAAGTACTAATCCTCTCTTTCTCTCTCCTAACCCCTCATCACCATACCCCCCACGTTCATTTGTACCCTCCCACGCTTATTCCTCCATTTTCCTTCTTCTGTAACCACTATCTTTACCTCTAAATTCAAACAAAATCCAGTAAACCCTACAAACAAATTCCTATCCTCATTTTTATTTACTTGAAGTTCATCAATGAAGATCAAGCAAGGTTCGAAAACGAGTCTGGCTGGAGAAAGGAGATTGAAACTCCTAATCATGCTTTTATCATTTTGAAACTCCTGGAGAAAGGATTCGGAAAGCAAGAAACTTATCATTTTGCTTTTATTTCTGTAACCAAACTATAATTCCTAATCGTGCAGACAAGTCTGGCTGGAGAAAGGAGATTGAAACTCTTCGAAGAAGAAGAAGAATACATATTTTCATAAATTGTAGATAAATTGTAGAATTGTAGAAAAATTGTAGATAAAATGTAGACTGTTTTTTGCAGAAGATTTTGTAGAAGCTTAGTCGTTTTGGATTTGTGAAAACAAAAAACAATGCATCTACAATCAGAATACAAATAATCTACAATTTATCTACAAGATATCTACAAATTGGATACATTGAATTTTAATATCCCAATTCCCATTTCAATTGTAGCATAATTGGCATTTTCGACATAATTGTAGAAGATTTGTAGAAGTTTTAGTCTTCCCAATCTACAATTTATCTACAATTCTACAATTTATCTACAATTTATCTACAATTTCTGAAAGTATGTCTTCTTCTTCTTCTTCTTCTTCTTCTTCTTCTTCTTCTTCTTCGAGTTTCAATCTGAAATTCAGTCAAAACCAAGTCTAATCTTCACCAAAACCCCTCAAAATTGAGATATAAACTTCAAATCATATTCCCGATTATTTTCAACAACACCCAATCCAAACAAATAATGATTTTTGAAAACCCAAATTTGAATTCAATGTTTTCAAGCTTTTTAATGGCTATCAATGGTGGAAAATATATGGAAGAACAGATGAAGATGAAGTTGAAGAACAGAGATCTCCTTTCAGTTTCAAAATTACGCAGCTTCCAGATCTCCTTTACGTTTCAAATTTCGAATTTAATTTGGAATAAATCAATCCCAGATTTTGTGGCTAATTTTTCGCGCGCAATAAATGGCAGATTCTGCCTAATAAATGATTGGTATATAAATTGTAGTTAAAGTGTGGACTGGGCGGGTAATATACAAACTATGCACATTTTTGGTAATAAGATTTCAAATATGGTATAGTTAGGAAAAAATCCCTATTTTTATTGTTTCTCACTCTATGTTCGATATATGCATGTGGGCTCCTATTAATCCGGTTTTGCACGGTTTAAACTTTAAAGTTTATTGAAGTTGAAGTATTAACTTGTTATTATTAAAACTCGAATTCGAAACTTTAAGAGTGGAGATATGTATTGGTTCTATTCTATCGCTACTTTAAGGGTCATTTGGTATGAGGTATAAGAAGGTATAAGGGTGGTATAAAAATAAGGCGAAATACATAATCAGCCCCTCCAAGTTGTCCACAACGGTTACTTGAACACCTTAACTGATCCCTTTTTTATTTTAACATTTCAAGTGGCTATTAAATGTATCTCGTGAACATAATAAATTTTTTGATAAATATAAACTAAATACATTAAAAAAATCTTTTTATTAATTAACCAACCCCCCCTCTTCATCTTCTTCCTTCTCACTCCCCCTAATCGCCCCCTTCCCCCCAAATAACCCCTCACACTGATTTCCTAGCACCTTCCAAGAAATTGGATGACAAAAACCCACATAAAATTGAATGAAATTGAGTGGTGGTCAGTGATTTCCGGCAATTTTTACCCATGAAATTGAGTGAAAATTGGATTCACCAGATTTCACCAGATTTGATTTTGAACACTCTATTCTTTTTCATATATAGAGAGAAAGTAAAAGATATCGTAATTCGTATATGAAGAAGACATTTTACTAACACTCCAACACCCCTTTTGTATAATATGAACAAACAACACTATTTTCTCACTTCTTCTCCCTAGAAAATTCTGTTTTTCACTTCTTCCGAAGTATATTTTAGTCATGGTGAGGAACGAAGTATTTTCGCGGCGGTGGAGGGTGGAGAAGATGGAGGAGTTTGATAATTTGTGCCCGTCTTTTGATTCTTATGAAGTTCATGTTCTTGCTGTCGATGATAGTCTCGTCGATCGGAAAGTTATTGAACGACTACCGAAAATCACATCTTGCCGAGGTTGAATGAAAATCCAAACCGCCAATTCAGTTGTTGTGTTTTTATCCAAACCCCCCAAAAAAGATAAGCCTAATTTTAAAGATCTTCACGCGCTTAGATGTAAGTGTAACACACAAAATTTGCCATGTCAGCGTAAGGGGTTTAAGAGAATATACTTCTACCAAACAGAGGTGTCTATCTGGTCACATAACAAGTTAAGGTGTTCAAATGACCGTTGTGGACGACTTGGAGGGGCTGTTTATGTATTTCTGTTTGGTTAGCAAATCAGGTATAAGTTATCCCGGTGTTAATTTTATGTAACGACCCGGTTAGTCGTTCTAAGAGTTGTAGCCCCGTTCTCTCATTTCTATTTCTTTATGTGTTGTTCAGCTGTGTTGAGTTGTATCGAGTTGGTAGGTTTGTGTTCGAAGTAGTTTTGGAGTGAAATGATCATTTAGTCTCTTAATTAGAAAGCTAAGTTAGAAAAGTCAACAGGAAGTTGACTTATGAGTAAAAGAATTCGGATTTGGATTTTTATGATTCGATTAGCTTCCTTGGGTGATTTTAGAATTAGGAGTGTGTCCGAAATGTAATTTGGAGGTCCGTGATAGAATTAGGCTTGAATTGGCAAAAGTTGGAAGTTTAAAAGTCTTAGGCTTGAATTCGAGGTTGATTTGGTGTTTTGGTGTTGTTTTGGGGTGTTCCGGAGGTTCGACTAAGTTCGGGTAGTGATATGTGACTTGTTGGAATTTTCAGTTGAGGTCCCGAGGGCCTCGGGTGAGTTTCGAATAGGTTTGGGTTGTGTTGCGCTCGTTTTCTTATGTTTCGACGCCGTTTCTTCAAGCATAAATGATATCATATTGAACAAATGAGCTCCGATTTCTTTTTTGATTGAAGCATTAGATCCGTATCGTAATTACGGATCCGTAGAAAAAAGAATCATCGAATTTGGATATCGTATGAGGATTTTATGGTCATTTTACTAAAAATTAGGTTGTCAGATTTTTTTCAGAGTAATTACGAAATTGCCACTAGCAGCGTATTTAAAAATCTGCACTATTTGCATATATTAAAACCTACATATCTCCTTCGTTATAAGGTCAAATTGAGTGATTCAAAAGTCTAACTTGATTAGAATTTCACAAGGAATCCATTGGAGGCATAAAATACAAGTTTCGGGATCGTTTGGCTCGAGAAACGAGGCAGAATAGCTGGTAGAGAAATATACAAAACTAGTGTTTGTTCATTCGATCATATTTTGAGTTGGGGAGCTCGGATTTGGGCGATTTTGGAGGCGATTTTCACCATATGGATTGAGGTAAGTGTTCTCTACTCGATTTTGATTATAATTTATGAATCCATCTTCGTTTTTGGGATTTGATTGATGATTTCAAAGTGAAATTGAGGGAGTTAGGGTTTGAGTTTTGGAGAGTTTTAAGTGAGGATTTGAGGGACCAAACGGAGTCCGATTTTGACAAATTTTATATAGTTAGACTCGGGAGAGGATGAGGATTATTATTCTGTCATTTTCGACTGATTCCGAGATGTGGGCCCGGGGCGCCGAGTTTTGGCCGATTTCGGATTTTTGGCATGTTTATGTAGTTTTATTGTGTAATTCGATTCTTTAGACTATGTTGATAGTAGTATTCTGATAATGGTTAGATTCGAAGCTTTTGGAGATCGAGTCGAGGGACGAGGACATCCCGGAGTAGGATTTTACGTTGTTGAGGTAAGTAACAGTTTTAACTCTGGCTTTGAGGGTATAAACCCGGAGAAATTGATATCATGTGATTGTTTGGTGGTGATACCCACGCTAGGTGACGGGCGTGTGGGTGTGCACCGCGAGGGATTGAGACTTGGTCCGTCCCGTAAGGCCAGGCCTAAAAGCTATTATCTGTGGTTATGTGTTTACTTGTTGTTGAACTTGTTTGCCTTCATGTTAGAGATCCTGTTTAGGTTTTATTCACGCTCACATTATTTGTACTCAGTCATAGAAATTATTGTACATATTTACCTCAGTCTCTATTAATTGCTAATATGCTGTGATACTTGATGTGGGCTGTGTTCCCTTATTTGTTGATGATGGTGAGGCTAGTGAGGTACATGACTGAGTGAGGCCGAGGGCCTGGTTGTGAGGATATTAATACCATAGTGCGTGAGTTGTCCGCGTAGCACGTGAGTTGACCGTGCGGGTCCAGGTATTTATACCATAGCGCGTGAGTTGTCCGTGTAGCACGTGAGTTAACCGTGCGGATCCAGGTATTGATATGATGGCCTGGTTGTGAGAATATTAATACCATAGCGCGTGAGTTGTCCGCGTAGCACGTGAGTTGACCGTGCGGGTTCAGGTATTTATACCATAGCGCGTGAGTTGTCCGCGTAGCACGTGAGTTGACCGTGCGGATCCAGGTATTGATATGGTAGCACGTGAGTTGTCCGTGCTTAGCGCTTGGGCTTTGGGATCCCCTCCGGAGTCTGTACACACCCCCAGTGAGCGCAGAGTGTTGAGTGTATTGAGTGTTGA